TCTGAGGTTTGAAAGACCCTCTTATTTAATAAAAACCTGGAAGACCAAGTTGCTTGTCTTAGACCTTTATAAATCAACACTAGTCACTAAATCTAGATATAAGTCAATTTATTGGGGAGTGGTAATTTGTTTCAAACCAATGTCACTGTAAGTTTGAGAGTCACTAGTTGGTTCAACACTTCTATGAATATTTTTTGGTAATTAGCATGTCTAATACATGCTTTTTAAGTTTTAGTTATTCGATTTCTGTGCTTTGACCTGAAGAGATGGACTTCAAACATTTTGTTCTCATATCTCCTAACCAGTTTTTAAAAATAGGTACTTCTTCACACTGAGAATTTATTGAAGTTTAATATATATGCAGAGAGTGCACATCAGTAGTAAACAGTCCAGTGAATTTTTACCAGCTGAGAACAGTCGGGTACCAGCACCTCAGATCAAGAAAGTGAATGTTATCAGCCACTTAGAAGCCCCTTTGTTTGCCCTTCTGGTCACTTCCACTCTTTCTCCTGACTATCATCCTGACTTTTAAAATATCAGATTAGTTTTGCCTACTTTTGTACTTTACCTATATGGAATCCTACTATACTACCTTGTGCAACATTATGAATGTGAGATTTATCTAAATGGTGTGTAGTTATAGACTGTTCCTTCTCATTACTATATATCCTGTTGTGTGAATATATCACTATATATCATTCTGTTGATGGATATGTATGTAGGTCTTAGTTTTGAGAATGTCATTATGGTCTTGGCATAGGCAAACATTTCTTAAATAGGACTTTTTCAGTGTAAGTACTATGGGTTTTAGAGTTCTAACTAGAGAAAGAATGGGAGAACTGGTTTATTTTAATATAGGCATCTAAAAATTTTTTTAAATGCTAATGTATAGTAAAATCTTTTACTCTAAATCTTAGGGAAAGGGTCAGTATTTATAACTAAATCTTCTAGGTGACTTATGTTTGTGGTTCTTTTAACGCCTACAGCACCTGGTCTTCCTTGGTGGCCTCCCATCCAAGTACTAACCAGGCCTGACCCTGCTTAGCTTCCAAGATCAGATGGAATCAGGCATGTTCAGGATTGCATGGCCGTAGATAGGTTTGTGTTTTTATAACTATTTTAGGTTGAATTCCTTCAAAAATGTGTCAGGTATTTCCTGGCCTATTTTGACTTTGTGATTTGTAGTTCTTTATTATATGCTAGAAATAAACGATCCCTTGCTGCTTGCAAGAGCATGCTTTTTCATTTTTAATGCGTCTTCTGATAAACCAAAGTTCTTAATTTTAATGTAGTCCAATTTATCAGTATTTTCCTTTATGTTTAAACTAAATATCAGGTTCAATTTAAAATGGCCTTTCCCATCCCAAGGTTTTGCAGATACTCTCTTTCATCCTCCTCTAGAAGCTTCATTGTTTTGGCTCTCATGTATGGTTTAGCATCTATCTGAAATTGATTTTTGTGCATCCTGTGAGGAAAGGGGGACAGTACTGTTTTTTTCCCACATGGACAGCACACTGTCTTTTCCCTGCTATTGTCAGGAATCAAATATCCCTGTCTGTGGTTGTGTTTCTAGGCTGTCTATTCTGTTCCATTAGTCCTTGCACTGATAACCACACTGTCTTCTTTACACAGTTTTATCTTAAGTTTTGATTTTCAGTAGAACAAGTTCTTCCACCCGGTTGTCCTTTGAGAGAATTTTGGCTATTCTTGGCCCTTTGCACATTTATATGAATTTTAGTGTCTTGTTACTTTCCACATACCACACATAACACACATTCATGCAGAAAACCTGTTGAGATTTTGGTTTGATTTGCATGGGATCTATAAAGCAACTTAGCAAGAATTTACATCTTTTTCGTATTATTTTCTAGTTCATGAACATGATATACTGCTCTATTTATTTAGGTCCTCTTTAATTTCTCAGTAATGTTTATAATTTTCTCCAGGAAGTCATTCACATCTTATGAGATGGTATTCATAGGTATTCGGTATTTTTTCCATACTGTAAATTTTTATAGACTTCATTTTGTCTGTAAAGATACAGTTGATATTTGTATATCAGTCTTGTATCTAGCAATTGTGTTAAATGTTCATTACTTTTAGTAATTTATCTTCAGTCTTTTTGTTCTTTCAAATGGTTATACTTTTTTTTTCTTACTGTGCTTGACTAATATTTAGATTATAATATTGAATAGAAGTGGTAATAGAGAGTGCCATTATCTCGTTCTCTTTCTCAAAGAGAAAACTTTGATATTTGCTTTAATTTTTTCCTACTCTATTAGATTAAGGAAGTTTCATCCTGTTCTTGATTTGGTAAGAGCTTATATCATGAGTGATATTGGATTTTATCAAATGCTTTTCCTACTGTTGCTCTTTGAATGAAATTATATTGATTGATTTCCTAATGCTAAATCAACTTTGCTTTCCAGGAATAAACTCAGTTTGGTCATTATTGTATTTTCCTTTTAAGATCCTTTTGGATCTTTGTTCTTGAGTGAAATTGACCTTTATTTTGTTTTCTTATACTGTCTTTGTTAGGTTTTGGTGGCCTTGTAAAACGAGTTAAGGAATATACCTGTTCTTTCTTTTCTAAAAAATGTTTTACTCAATTTAAACTAAAACAAAAACAGTTCACCCATTTCTCTCACCCCCACTTTTAGCAACCACCATTCTGTTCTCTGTATCTACAAACTTGTTTTTGTTTTTAGATTTCACATATAATAGAGAGCATATGGTATTTGTTTTTCTCTCTTTTTTTCACTTAGCATGATGCTTTCCAGGTCCATCCATGTTGTCAACAAATGGCAAAACACACAAAGAACTGTTAAGAACTAAAAAACAAATTCAGTAAATGTTTCAGGATACAAAATCAATATTCAAAAATCTGTTGCATTTCTTTACACTAATATTGAACTGTCAGAAAGAGAAATTAAGAAAATCCTATTTACAACTGCATCAAAAAGAATAAAATACCTAGGAATAAATTTAACCAAGGAAGTCAAAGACCAGTATATTGAATATCATGAGAAATTGATGAAAGAAATTGAAGAAAACACAGCTAAATGGAATGATACTTTGTGCTCATAGATTGGAAAAATATTGTTAAAATGTTCATAATGCCCAAAGCAATCTACATATTCAGTGTAATCCCTATTAAAATTCCAGTGGTATTTTTCATAGCAACAAAACAAGAACATTAAAAACACCTTAGTTCCATTTACTCACCTCCTGACATACATGCTGCTGTCCTGTAATTTAATTTTCTGTATATTTGTTTTTACAAAAAGCTCTATGTATTTAGATAAGTAGTTTCTGTACATATTTTAAATTCCATAAGACATTATTTTACACAGTCAAATGTTCCATTAGATTTTTCACATGCTTACTTACATTATCATGATTCTTCATTCCTTTCGCATCTGTAACCTTCCATTTTGGGTCAGTTTTCTTTTGCTTTATGATTTCTTAGTGGAGGTGTGCTGGATATGAACTCTATTTTTGTCTGAAAAATTTCATTTTCATTCTTGATGGATATTTTCTCTGCAGTACAATACTAGGTTGGCAGTTTTTCTTTCTGTTCTTTAGGGATACCATTATAAAGTCTTTTAGCTTCCATTTTTGTTGTTGAGAATTAAGCTAACTGTGCTTCTTTGAAAGTAATCTTTTCCCCTCTTGGGATGCTTTTAAGTTTTTCTTTGTCAGTTTTCAGTAGGAATTCATTGAGAATCTTAAATTTGTTTGACATCTTTCATCATTTTGGGAAAATTCCAGCTATTCAAATATTCCTTCTGCCCCATACTGTCTCTCTTTTCCTTCTGGGATTCCAGTTAACTGGGTTGGATGTTAGACCTCCTCATTATACCCTCATGTTTCTTACCCTCTCTTCATTCTGAGCTTTTTTCTCTCATTTTTTTATTTACTGTCTCAACTGTGTCCATTGGCTGTTAAAACTGTTCATTGAAATTTTAATTTCAGTTTTTGTATTTTTCAGTTGCAGAATTACTCTTTGCTTCTTTTAAAAATCTGCTATGTCGCTTTTTATGGTTTCTACTTCATTGCTGAGATCTTTAAGTTTGGTGTTCATCTGTTTCCTTGAACATATACACATAATTTTAAAATCTATGTTTGGTAATCTAATATTTAGAGTCTCCATGAGTCTTTTGTTTCTATGGCTTTCTATCTTATTCTTGTGTATGTGATTGTCTTTAATTGCATGCTGGGTGTTAGATTTGAAAAATTGTTTGAGAAATCATTTGAGACCAAGGATGCTATCTCCTAGAAAGGATTTATTTATTTGTTTGTTTGTTTGTTTGTTTACTGGCATCTGCTTGAGGGAATCCAGGATTACTTAGTCTAAACTCAGCTTTCGAGATTTTTCTGAGCCCACAAGATGACTCAAGGTCAAGTTACAGTCAGTGTATGGCCTGATTAATTTCTGGTTCACTCTTAATGTCTAAGGTGCCAGCCCTTCAGGTTCTTAACCTGAAGTTGGGGGAGAAGATTTTCCTTTTGTCCCTCTCAGCCTATCAGATACAGTGTAACCTCTAATTTCTTCTAGATTGCTGGGCTCACCTTTCTGAATTCCATTTAAGAGCATCAGCAGTTTTGTAATCAAACCCATTAAAATATAATGACTAATAAATATATCATGGGTAGCCCTAGGGACCCCTGATGGTTTGCCAGGGATGCAACTAAAGTTCCTCTTGCTAGCTTTCTCTGAAGCCAAAACCTCAGAAAAGGTTCTGGCTGTCTTCTGCTGTTGCCAGCTCTGCCTTAGGCATTAGAGATGACTGACTGGGAAGGGAGGAAGGGTGGCTCAGGCAGTCTGGTATCTATCGAACATAAACTTCATTCACTGTAATTCCAGGTTGTAAAGGTGTACAGATGGCTGCTTGCTTTTTTGAGACCTTTTATTTGTACACTGTATCACTGACTCACACTGTCTCCTTTCAGCCTTTCACAGTTTGAATCTTACCACTTTTGGTCTTTCATTTTTTTAGGACAGTGTCTTCAGCCTTCAAGGTTTTTATTGTGAATTGTTGCTTGTCAAACTGGACAAAGCATCAGTTGAATTGACAAATTGGAGGTAAGGAGTGTATATCTATGTGTCTTTGTATTCCTGTAATTATATTAGAACAAAAAACTATTTTGAAAACTAATCCATGTTGCTGTTAATATCACTCCACTCCCTCGCCCCCACCCCCACACCTTTTGTGCATTTAAGAGTGTGAAGATGTCCAGGTGGTTTTATGTTTTTAGATTTAGACCCTAAATCAGGACCCTAGGCAAGTTCTTTGTACAATTTATTTGTTATTAGAAAGCTCACCAGCATTTAAAAGGGCTTAGGAGTTGAGTGGAGCTGGTGGAGCTCGAAAGACCTGCCCCAAGGAGTTACTGGGTGTGCATGCATATGTTGATCTTCAAACTTCCTAGTTTTTATTGTAACTTTTCTTATTCTCAGATTCATGTTCAATAAATGAGTTGTATAAATGACAAATCTAGTATTATGTACCATGAAATCAGGGTATAATTTTTTAAACGTATTGTAGCATAGTTCTTGTTTTGAGCCATCGCTAGATCTGCATCAAAAAAGACTAAGAAACAAAATAAGAAAGATTATTCAATATTAGCTTTGATTTCTAGATAGCTTGTTTTGCCACCTTATAAAGATGTTCCCACTCTTTTTAACACCTGTTTCCTAGTATAACAACATACATGGGTGTGTGTTGTGACTTAAACACTGGACGAGGTGTTATGAGGCCTGTTTTATCATCTTGGCTTTTTAGGAAGTTTTTAAATCCCTCTAGATTTTAGTTACCTTCTTGTATAAAACAAGGCTGTTATACTGAGGTTGGGTTCAGGGTTTCTTAGTCTTCGCACTATTGACATTTGGGCCAGATAATTCTTTGTTGTCAGGAGTTGTCCTGTGCACTGTAAGATATTTAGCATCATCCTTGGCCTTTGCCCACCAAATGCCAGTAGCACCCCTCCTCAGTATGACAATCAAAAATGTCACGAGACATTAACAAATGTGCCTTGTAGGGTAAAATTGTCCTCAGTTAAGAATCATTGGGTTAGATGATGTGTACAGTTCCTTCCAGCTTTATAATTTTATTATTTTTATTTTTTTAATGCTATTTTTTTTACACTCCAGCTTAAATGTCATCTCTTTCATGAAACTTTCCTTGGTGCTCCTTTTCCTTGTCTTACCTTAATTGTTTCTTTTTCTGACAACTTAACTATGGGACTTAATCCCACTCTATTAACAACTATCGGTGTGTTTCTCTCACTTTGAGGGCACGGGTCTTCTGTATCTCCAAGCTGAGTGCTCAGATTTTATTAACGGAATGAAAAAGGGATTCAGGAGCATTATCAGGCTAGACATTTGTTAAATAAATGAATATGAATGGCATTTTTGTTGATCTTTCATACTCTTCCAGTGTGTGACCTTGATATCTAGGTTAATGAGACTGATAACTCATTTTTTAAAAAATCCTTTAGAAAGCAAGAGCCTCTAGTAGTATGTGAGAGAGTTCCAGTGCACAAAACACATCGAGGCTGCATTTGAGAAAAATAAAGTCACAAAAAAATTCATAACATTAGAGTTGTTTCAGCTTTCATATCAAGACGTTTCTCAAAAAACTCCACTTTAATTAGAAAACTGCCATCTATTTAGATAAAAGTAAAAAGGAAAAGTGTTAAATATTTTTCTTATATAACCTAGAATTCCTCACCATATTCATGTCATGTCAGCATTTCTCAGAGTAAGAAGTACATTTTAATCATAATCTAGTACATACACACATACCCCTCAGACAAGTTTTTTGAATCAATATTTATTTACTATTACTATGTATGAGGCATTCTAATATTTTGTTTTCTTTTTTTTTCCTTTAAATACCTGCCATTACTCAGTAAATTTATTACATAATTCACTAATAGGTTACAACCTACCATTTGAAAAGCACTGTTCTAAGTATTCTCTTTGTTTTAGTAATAGGTTGTCCTGTCTTTCTTTTTAAATAATGTCATTTAAGAATTGACCCAACAAAGACCTTGGAACACCTCAACCAGAGCAAACTATTTTTCCAATTATTTAAAAGCCCTACCTTTTTCGTTTCTGCTAAGTATTTAGTGTGCACAAGGCGCTATAGCTAAAAGAACATGTTTGGTTTTCTTTCTTAAGATTTATAGTAATAAAATCTAGGGGGCAGTAAAAAGTTAATAAACATTTCAAGTGCTGAAAGTGGTAATAAACACAATGACTTTTATAGGCCTTTAGGAAGGGAAGAAAGCTGTGCTGATTGAAGTTGATGGGAGAAGTTTAACATGAATGTGGGATGGATATTGCATTGTCATATTGAAGATTGGAAAAAGCTACTACACATGGTAAAAAAACAGCATTCATGTTAGGTGCACTGTACTTGCTCATACTTGAAGTTCATTTTTTGGGTAATGTTGAAGATAAAGTAACTGAGAAATTGAAAAATAAAAAGTATGGTAAAGTGCTTTACCAAATAGCATATATGTAAAGCTATTTTATGCTATTTTAGCTTTGCTGTGGTTATAAAAAGAGTTTGAGTCAGGAGATTAATTAGAAACTAGTATGCATGATGGCTCTGATATAAGCCAATATCATTTAACATCGAATTACTAAGTTTACCGGGAATGAAGATAGCTTCTAAATGATGGTAAGAGAGAATGCTCATTTGTCAAAATAAGCCAATAAGGCTACTATTCTATATAGAAATTGCTCTTAATGGAACAGAAAGGAATTATATAATAGTCATCATTTTTAAAAAGTTGTATGTTATTTTTCTGTGCAATTGAAAATTTTATACATGCTTGATAGGCCCGGGCTTATCATTTCTTCTCTAAATAGAATGGGGGGCTTAGGGTGTGAGTCACAACCAGGTATGCCGCAAAAGCCTTATGAAAACAAACAGTGGACTGTCTTTTGGTCTTTCTTCTGTGGAATAATATAGAATTTAATTACTTAAGATATTTCTGACCTAAAGGAAAAGAAGAAGATTCAGCTTGTGATGATACTTGAGAAAGAACCACCTGCCCTAAAGGTGTGGTCTATCTAGCATTCTGTCTGCTGTTACTTTAAGACACCAGAAGTCTGAGTTTTTGTCATGTTTCGTTTCAATATTGAGTTGAGAAGTTAGCAAAAGGATAACTATCTCCTCATTTTGTCAGATTTCCATTCCAGACTATTGAAAAGGTGCTTTCAGAACTGGAGATGTGAATAAGACTCCTGTGCTAGGCTCATAAACTATCTTGAGGTACTTAAAAAAAATTTTTTTTACATAGATTTTATTTTTTAGAACAGTTCTAATTTTACAGAAAAATCGAGAAGATAATACAGGGAATTCCCATATACCCTGTACCTAGTTTCCTCTATTATTAACAGCTTATATTAGCATGGTACATTTGTTAAAATTAACCAGTATTGAAACATTGTTACAAAACTAAAGTGCATACTTTATTCAGATTTTTTTAGTTTTTACCTAATATATTTTTTCTGTTTTAGGATCTCACCAAAATACCATATTACATGTAGACATTATGTCTCCTTAGGCATCTCTTAGTTGTGACAGTTTCTCAGACTTCTCTTGTTTTGATGACCTTGTCAGTTTTGAGGAGAACTGATCAGGTATTTTGTAGATTGTCCCTCAATTGAGATTTGTCTGATGTTTTTCTGATGATTAGACTGGGGTTATGGGTTTGGGGGAGGAAGACCACAGAGGTAAAGTGTCATTCTTACATTCTCATCACAACATATCAAGAGTACATACTATCAACATGATTTATCACTTTATGTTGACTGGTCATTTGGCTGAGAAGATGTTTGTTAGGTTTCTCTATGGTAACATTACTCTTGTTTTTTTTTTTTTTAAACTCCTTTCTGTACTATGCTCTTTGGAAAGAAGTCACTATATTGTCTACACTTAAGGAGTGGGAAATTATGCTCCATCACCTGAGGGTGTTCTATATAAATTAGTGGGAATTCTTGGCATGGGAAGTTGTATCTCTTCTCCCTCATTTTATTCATTCAGTCATTTCTTTATATCAGTATGGGCTCATGAACTTTTATTTCATACTTTGAGTCATAATCTAATACTACTTTATTTCATTGCTCAAATTTTTCCAGCTTTGGTCATTGGGGGCACTTTTGTTTGGCTCCTACTTCACTGGCATGCCTCCATACCATAGTTTTTGTTTGTTTGTTTGTTTTGAGCATTTCCAGGCTCATCCTTGTATATCCCGTTCCAGTTCTAGAATCAGCAGCTCTCCACAAAGCCCTGGTTCCTTTTATTAGAGAATGCCTTTGGAAGTCAAGGTTTGGGTGCTAAGTGTGCTCATTGCTACTGGAGTGTTGCTGCTTCTAAGCCTTTATAGCTGAAATCTTGTGTGTATACTATCTATATATTTATGCATATCTATAAATATTTCTATGTATCTATATGTTATATATAAATATATATCTCTCTCTAAAACATGAGTTCACACTGATGTCTCTTAACTCTGATCCATTACCACATGGATCATTCTGGCCTTCTCCCCTTGCTTGTCTGTAACTTCCCACTCCAACAGTGAGAAGCCTGGCTGCCACCACTCACCATCCATTTACTTACTTGTTCAGTCCCAGTATACATGTATAGATGTATATCAGTTTTCTTAACTTGATACTCCCCTGGGTAGCAGTATCATCAACTAGAGTACAGTATTTATTATGTACAGTTCCTTTTGCCTTTAGCCTTATACACTCTATTCATTTCGAAAGTTATTTAAATCAGTACCTTCTCCTCCATCCCCTGAGGTAATATTGTTTTGTACATATCTCCATTTCAAGATTTTTTAAAATCTGCATACTTTAAGGTTCACACTTTGTGTTATAAATTTCTGTGTTTGACAAGTGCATAATGTCACGTATCTACTATTATAGTATCATACAGAATAATTTCACCACCCTAAAAATTCTCCTATGCTTCACCTATGACCCCTCCTTTCTTCCCCGCAAACTCCTGCAACCACTCATCTTTTTACTGTCTCTATAGTTTTGCCTTTTTTCCAGAATGT